AGAATAATTTTTCTCCCTTCTTGTAACAACCTTTTATGTACTTGAAAACTGCTATCATGTCCCCCATCAGTCTTCTCTTCTCCGGACTAAACAAACCCATTTTTTTCAGTCTTCCCTCACAGGACATGTCTAGACCTTTAACCATTTTTGTTGCTCTTCTCTGGACTTTCTCCAATTTGTCCACATCTTTCCTGAAATGTGGCGCTCAGAACTGGATACAATACTCCAGTTGAGGCCTAATCAGCGCAGAGTAGAGCAGAAGAATTACTTCTCGTGTCTTGCTTACATCACTCCTGTTAATATATCTCAGAATGATGCTTGTTTTCTTTGCAACAGTGTTACACTGTTGATTCATATTTAGCTTGTGATAGATCCACTCTGATCCCTAGATCCCTTTCTGCAGTACTGCTTCCTAGGCAGTCATTTCCCATTTTTTTACTCCTGAGGGAATTCTGCTCCAAAAAAATTAAAAATTCTGCATACATTTTAAAATTTAACAAAACTGCATATTTTGTCAAAATAACACAGTATGATCACACCATTTTCAATTATTTGCAAATTACAAAAATAACTGAAAATGGTATGATTATATATTTTGTGTTTGTGTTATTTTAACAAATAAAATATGTAGAACTTTGCAGAATTTTAATTTTTTGGTAAATAATTCCCTCAAGAGTACCAGGGCTCTGTGTGGTGCAATTTGGGTGCAGGCTGCTCGGTGGGAGGCCCGGGGGAGGAGAAAGAATCTGGATGCACAGGGGCTCGGTGCAGGGTTCTGCGTGCAGGAGGAATGGGACTCTGCAGGGGAGTCCAGGTGAAGGTGGTTAGGGCTCAGTGGGAGAGGGAAACTGGGGGGCGGCTCAGGGTGCAGATGGTTGGGGCTCAGTGGGGTGGGGGTCCAGGGGTCCTTATGTAGGGGGTGAGGCTTAGCAGGGGTGTTTGGGGGGCTTGGTTGGGGGGGGATTCTGGGTGCCTGGGTAGGGGGAGGGGCCACTGTACAGGGAGCTGCTTCCTGTTTGCCCAAATGCCCCACCCTTCCCCCCCTGGTGCAGAGCTTTCTGCAGCCAGGGAAAGTTTCAGGGGGTTGATCTGACCCAGCCCCGGCTACTCTGTGCAGGGAAGGGGAAGGGGGAACTCCATCTCTGTTCTTCTCTGTCTCCCTCCCCCGCTCACCGCCCAGCTGGGACCAAGGTCCCACCAAGGTCCCAGCTGTGCCCAGGGCATCCCCAGACCCAGAGTGATTTACCTCTCTCCCAGCAGACCAAACAGAGTGCCTGAACTGCCGGGACGGGGGAATGAGCATTGGTGCAGCTTTTCTTTGCTTCCCCACACAAACCATTTTCTGCAAGGAAGCAAAGGGAATCTGCGGGGCGGGGCATTTTTCTGCTGCACTGCAGTGGCTCAGATTTTCTCCAGGAGTTCCATTTTGTATGTGTGCAACTGACTGTTCCTTCCTAAGTGGAGTACTTTGCATTTGTCCTTATTGAATTTCATCCTATTTACTTCAGACCATTTCTCCAGTTTGTCCAGATCATTTTGAATTTTAATCCTATCCTCCAAAGCACTTGCAACTCCTCCCAGCTTGGTATCATCCGCAAACTTTATAAGTGTACTCTCTATGCTATTATCTAATCATTGATGAAGATATTGAACAGATCTGGACCTAGAACTGATCTCTATGGGACCCCACTTGATATGCCTTTCCAGCTTGATAGTGAACCACTGATGATTACTATCTAGGAACCAGTTATGCACCCACCTTATAGTAGTTCCATCTAAGTTGTATTTCCCTAGCTTGTTTAGGAGAAGGTTATGTGAAACAGTATCAAAAACCTGACTAAAGTCAATATATACCACATCTACCACTTCCCCCGCATCCACAAGGCTTGTTACCTTGTCAAAGAAAGCTATTAGTTTGGTCTGGCATGATTTGTTCTTGAAAAATGTTACTTATCACCTTATTATCTTATAGGTATTTGCAAACTGATTGCTTGATTATTTGCTCCATTATCTTTCCGGGTACTAAAGTTAAGCTGACTTGTCTGTAATTCCCCAGGTTGTCCTTATTTCACTTTTTATAGATTGGCATTATACTTGTCCTTTTTCAGTCCTCTGGAATCTCTCCCATCTTCCATGACTTTTCAAAGTCAATTGCTAATGGCTCAGATATCTCCTCAGTCAGCTCCTTGAGTATTCTAGGATGTATTTCACCAGGCCCTGGTGATTTGAAGATACCTAACTTGTTTAAGTAATTTTTAACTTGTTCTTTCCCAATTTTAGCCTCATATCATACCTCATTTTCACGATCATTCACTGTGTTAGATGTCCAATTGCAACTAAATCTTTTTGGTGAAAACTGAAAGAAAAGTCATGTAGCACTTCTGCCTCCCCTCCTCCCTCATTGAGTAATGGGCCTACCCCTGCCCTTGGTCTTCCTCTTGCGTCTAATGTATTTTTAGAATGTTTTCTTGTTACTCTATCTCTAGAGCTAGTTTAATCTCATTTTGTGCCTTGGCTCTCTAATTTTGCCCCTACATACTTGTGTTATTTGTTGATATTCATCCTTTGTAATTTGACCTAGTTTCCACTTTTTTGTAGGACTCTTTTTGGAGTTTCAGATCATTGAAGATCTCCGGGTTAAGCCAGGGTAGTCTCTTGCCATACTACTTATCTTTCCTATGCAGTGGAACAGTTTACTCTCATGCCCTTAATAATAATAGCAGTTAATGGCCTCAGTTCAGTTCCCAGTGGACAGATATTTATACATCACAAAGGCCACCACAACTTGTAGCCCCAGTAAACTCAATAGGCCAGAGATTGAACTACCCATTCATCCTTAAAGATGGGTCTCTCCAGCTCAAAGTTGGGACAGTGTGTGAAAGGTATTGCCACTGACTGTGCAAGTACTATTTCAGTGGATAAACAGAGGTCCTCAGTCTCCAGTGTCACCTAGCAGCTCTGTGTTCTTGGGGAACCAGGGCACAGTACCCAGCCTGTCTGACTCACAAAAGACCTCCCCCCGCACGCCCCCCAGGCCTCTGCTTGAACCAGAACCGTTCAGAAGACAGACTTACAAAAAGCAATGAAAAGGCAGTAGGAGACGCACCTAAACCCCTGGGATAAGGATGACAGGATTAAGGAAACTCCCCTAGCCTCATTTGCATGGAAGATGGACAAGGAGACATCTCCATTAGCATACAGAATGGAGAACAAAGATTCCAAGGCAAGAACTGCACGGAACTCTGGGACCAGAAAAGCAGGGAAGCACTGCATGATGGGGGAATCTCTGCTCCAGATGTTAATGAACCCACGCCTGCACACACCCAGCTCAGTAGTTATCAGACCAATTCTAGTAATAAATCCTTTATTAGTATCCAAGACAATGAAGCTCCCTAATTGTATTGTGAGCTCCCTCCAAGGAACACCGCCCATAGCCGGGAGTGATCAGCTCCCATTGGCTACCCTGAACAAAACAACTTTGATATACTCCCTTGAGCCATCAGTTCACACAAACAAATCTAGTGTTCCCCCTTGAACCATTGTTGTTTCTCTACAAAAACCCCTACCCATGCTCAAGTAAGTGTTCTGATGCCTGGATCCAAAATCTGGATCTTCTCCTGACTGATCATGCTGGGGGCTCTGCCTGTCTCCAGCACTCTGGACCCTCAGTTACCACCACCACCTGGGACCCCTGGTTGATTCAAGCTTCATGGAGTAGTGAGAACCCAGTTCTCTCTCTCTCTCTAGTTATAGCCTTCTGACCCTACTTGCGTGATCAATTATAGTTTTCTAACCCTGACTTTTATAATCAAATTTAAGTTAGATTTAATATTCTAACTGTTTTGTTTGTTTGGCTCCCCTATGGTTATTACCTGGCAATAAATAATTTTCATGATAAAGCTGGTTGCTTCTCTCTCTCCCTTGTGCATGTTTCTTTTGTTTTCTCATTCGCTCTGCAGCAGTGCTCTTCATACCTAAGATAAAAGATCCCTGCAGTGCCCCAAAATCCTGTGGGGTTTGCTCATCAAGTGGGTTACTACCAGAACAATTGTAACGTGAAAGTGGGGATAGAGACATGCTGAACCTGGGACATAAGAGGGTGGCATCTTGGAAATGCTGCTCGATCCAGTCTGCTGAATCCAAGGGCCTATGAGGGTGACAGCTTGGAAATGCTGCTCGATCCAGCCTACTGAGTCCAGGGACACATAAGGCATCAGCTTGGGAGTGCTGAGTAACCTGGTCCTCTCAGACGTGCTCTGTTAATGTGTGTGTGTCTGATTCTGGGGTTGGAAGAACCCAGCCCCCGGGGAACATAGGTCCTGCAGGATAGCTCCCTCACCCCAATGGAGGGAACTTGCAGCAGGGATAAGTAGAGCGCCATATGAGAACACAAGTGACATATGCAGTACATTGACAGAAGTACAGAAACTGCTCTCCCCAGAAGAGTAACTCTAATAAATGAGCATACCCCAAAGTAACAGGCAAAACTGGTAACACCAGGACTGTCAATCCAACACCTTTCATGAGGACTAAGTTAGTGATTTTGTTTTACATTATAGAAGATGACACACACTACTTCAACTGAAAAAGTGAACTCAATTTGCTTGCTGATACATTTATCATTTGATTTAAGGTAAAAAGAACAACGCACTCATAAGGAGCAAATGAGAGCGTGAAAGTAGCAGCTTAGGTGGAATACATAATTTCAACAATATAACAATATTCTGAAATGCTAAAATGCATCTCTGATGCATCTTGCAGACTTTCAAAGGGGAGGAGAAAGATGGTTTAGAAAAGAAAAAGGCGATAGACTCTTTATGCATTATTCTCCTAACAACAATGAAAGACGTAAAGTAGTTTTTAACAGCTTAATTTTCAAATAAATTCAGTTCAGACTGGATCGTACTCAGGTCAGTATTTTATATATTTACTGCACATGTGCTACTCAAATGCTTTTGTTAAAGAGCTTCTGCAAATGGTCAGATAAGAGTAATACTTACTGGTAATGAACCCACGATGGACCAAGCGTTTTCTTAAACTGAGTAAGTCCCACAATATCAATGTAAATGAGTTCTACCACTTTATCTCCCTGGGTGGGGCAGCCAGATCTGTTACCTACAACCTTCTTCATAATCCTATTCAAAAAGAAAAAACGGGGGGTGGGGGGAGAGGGGGAAGGAATATTTCAGCACCTTTCTGCATTCACGCGATATGCAATTTGTATTGATAATCCAATTACATTAAAAAAATCACATTGGTCAATTATTCTAATTTTGCAAAGACAATAACTGCATATGTGCCATTTTAATCTCTTACTGTTGAAAGCCAGTAAAACACTCTAAAAAGTTTACTGCAAAATGGATTAAGTACAGTAAAACAGAGACTTCTTATAGTAGACTCTTGTCACTGAGTATTTTCTCTAGTCTAAACAGAGGTACAAATATAACCTGAGCAGCAATTTTCACAAAGCAAATGCGATATACTGAAGCAATTTGGATATCACTTATAGTATTTTATTAACTATTTTATTATATCAGAATTCACTATAATATGGTTTCATTGTATATATTGTAAAAATGAAAGCTACAGAAAAAAGGACAAATGCCCAATCTTAAACCAGTGCATTATAAAAAGCATTAAAGCAGGACGAAGTGTCACTGAGACTAAAAACCAAAATGACTTTATCCTACAAAAGAAACTAATGTAAATTTGACTGAAATATAAGCATTTTCAGAGCACTTAACTGCATTAAAATTAATTTATTTAAGACTCTAAATAGCTGGATGCGGAGTGGGGAATATTATAAATTTAAGCTAAAGGACATGGAATTAGAATAGTCAGTAATGTATCTTGTTGCAGATGTTTAAAGCACCTGCAATGGTAAAAAATTAAGCTGCTTAGTTTGAATTTTCCAGCATTAATTTATGAAATCTCAGGAGGCTGCAGCTACAATGAAAACATATTATCCTTTTCACAGTGCATATATTTAGCTCATGAAAATAATCTTCTTATCTCCTGTTTAGTGAATTATCACTTTCATTTTCCTCTTGAAGAAATTATAGACAGTACTAATAGAGGCTTCAGGAGTTTACAATTTCTTTTTTGTATTCTAGTTTCAAAATTGAAAATAATCTTCTTACTCCTTGAGCTCTGCCAGTGAAGATGAAATCCTAATGTCATGGCCCAGTAAGTAGAGAGATGTAATTAAATCACTCCATTGGACTAATTCACCAAGTGGGCCACCACTAAATGCATTCTCTGCGATCTTGAATCCAGATTCCTTTGTTAAAAGTCCCAAATGAACAAGGATCTGAAAAAGAAAGCCACATGTAAGCAGTAACAACATTAATTCTGCAACTAATTAACCAATGTACTTTATGTTGGTTCCTTCTTGCTGTCTCCACATTCCAACTCAAACATTTGGTTTTTTAGCCAATTTAATCAAAGAACTGTTACATTTCTCAATAGCCCTGCCACTCTACTAATTGTAATAGTACTACTTCATTGCTTTAGACCATTTTTACAAACCACTGGAGTGCCTTTTTAAATCTTTTACATCCTCAGATATGATCTAAACAGTATGATTACACAACAAGAAAATGCATTTAAAATGAGGGGAAACAGACTGAGATGGAAAAAAAATATGATTCTATATATAAAAAGGTGTTTGCCTTTTTGTTCCAATAAAGTTTGAGATCAAAAAGATTATAACAAGGAAAACAGAAAATAAAATGTTACAATTAACTCACATTTTATACAATATGTGAAGCTAGCAGTTTCATCATTCAAACATTGGAATGTTAAGTAATTCCCATTAAAAATTAAAGCAGTCTGAAGACTAATAAGACAAGATTAATTACAGGACATAACAGTATTTCTTCTGCTCTTGGAGGACCATATTTTCTCATTAGGTACTTGCACTAGCTCGACACTCCAGCTGAGAAAGAAACGACATGTTTCTCTCTGGGGCTACTTCACACGGCTGCACACACAAACCACTCTGGACTGCACAAGAGTGACAAGGGTGCTCCCTCACCCCAATGGAGGGAATTTTTCTCTGCAGCTCTTCAGATCCTTTATGACCTTTGTAAATAAGCACTACAACCTGTATCATAACTGAGCACCAAACGCTGTGAAGAACTATCATCCTACTTTGATGACAAGATCATCTTGGCACATTCTCTAACAGCATGGATCTGCACCATCTATCCCTACCAACCAATAGCCCAACTGCATTCCCACAGTTTAAATAGTTCACTCAAGAAGTTCTGGATGTCCTAAGGGAATCTCGACCCATGATTTGTAAATCTAAGCCGCATCATTCCTGGCTTGTAAAAGATAGTTCTGAACAACTGGTACCGTTCCTCACCAAAATAGTCAACACCTCAGAGAAGGAATCTTCCCTTCTTCCTTCAAACACAAAATTGTCAGACCAAAACTGAGCAAACACACTCAGGAGACATAGCCAACTATCACCCTATGTCAAACCTCTCATCTCCCTTCATAGAGAAGTTAGCTAAAGGCCAACTACAAGATCAACTAATTGAAACTAATATTCTAGACCTGGAACAACCTGGCTTCAGGCCAGGATATGGAATTAAAATCATTTCAGTGGCACTCATGGTCAGACTCCTGTTAGTTGACTGAGGGAAAACATCCATTCTAATCTTCCTGGTCATCTCCGCAACATTTGACACAGTCGATCAGGAAATACTGTTGTCTTGTCTGTGAGAGGTGGCAGGAATCCACGGCAATACGCTGATATGGTCTGAGTCCCTCCTGGAGGATGCATCCAACAAATAGGAATGGAAAACTGCATGTCATCCCATAAGGATGAGTTCCCTCTCTGGCCCTTTTCAACTATATACAACCACTAGGTGCACTGGTCAGACAACACTGACTCAAGTACCAGCAACATGAAGATGACACACAGCCAACACACGACCACAGCACTATCACCAAGTTTGGCTCAGTGATTGGATGAGATCAGCTCAGAGATGAAGAGAAGCTGGCTGAAGCTGAACCGGAGCAGAAGTGATACTAGTTGACAGAGGAAAGCATTTTGAAGAATTGCAGACAAGTTAAAGTCTCCTTTGGTCTGCAATCGATCAATTCAGTCTTTAGTTTAGGAGTTCTCTTGGATATCTCACTGATAAGTTCTCACATAGCAGCAATGCTTTCTATCATCTCTGATTAGCTAAAAGTCTCAATTCCATCCTGGCAGATGATGACCTGGCCTCAGTTATTTATGTCTATCATCTCTCAGTTGGACTGCACAAATGTAATACACCTGGGCATGAAGCCTTCATTGCTTAAATGGCAACTAGTATAAATTGCTGTAGAACATCTCCTCAGCAACACATCAGACCTGTCCACAGTTCTCAACACTGATTTCACAGAGAATTTCAAATCACATTCAAGATCTCAGTCCTTATCTTCATGGCACTCCATAGCCTGGGCCCAGCATATCTAAAAGTCCATCCATCTAAAGCTCTGGGATGAAGACAGTGGTCGACAACTCCACTCCTCTGGTGCAATCTAGAATAAGGGAAAATCTTGTCTCTGTGGCCCAGTTTGAAACTGTGGCACAAACTCCCCCAAGAACTAAAGACCATCACAACCCCCCCCCCACACACCCCTTTTTGCTCCAAGTGTAAGGCATATTCCTTTGATCCTGCCTTCTCTAACACAAACACATAGCAATCCTGTATATTTTTAAAAATCCCACCCCCTCCCTAACCCCTCTCCCCCAAAACCCCTACACATAAAATAATCTACTAGCCCCACTAAGATCTTCTTGGAAACGGGAGTAAGAACAAATAAGAGATTAAGTAATTTTTACCTCTTCCCCGTCAAGCACTGCTTAGATGACAAGCACACTTTCCAAAAGCTGTTATGATTTCAACTGCCAGAAGCGGTTAATAAAAAACTCACTTTTTTTCGTTTTCTTTTCTCCAGGTTTTGCTTTTCTGCAAGTGACTTAATTGCTTCAATCCAAGCATCAGCCATTCGTCTGATGCGCAACATCATCCATCGGAATTCTTCATGCCTTGACATCATTTTGTAGAGGAGATCAAAGTTGGTATGGATTTCAGCCTTCAATTAAACATTAAGTAATAAAATCAGAACTTCATACAGTGTAATGTTCTTCAGTGACAATCTGTCATACTTAAACACTCTGTGCTTCACATCCCCCATTTGTAAAATGAAGAAAAATATACCACCTATCTCACAGGTGGTTAAGGCTTTAATTAACACTTATAAAGTCTATAGAGACCTTTGGCTGGAAATCACTATCACTGCAAAAGAGTCAGTTATTTTTATTACTACCTTGTAGCCTGGAAAATACCAAAGTCATAAGTTTATGCAGAGCTCAGAAAGGATTTTTATTTGTTCAGTATCATAGTTCTGTTTTTGATTATGTGGCTACAAAGTGAGCCTAAGTGGCTCTACCTCAGATAATCTAGGATTAAAATGCACTAGAAACAAAAGAGAAGTAGCCCCAAGGCTCTATAATTATTTGTCATGAATGAGCAAAGAAAGAAAAAGTTAGTCATGACAACATTAAGAAAGCAGCCTTAACTGGAAACAGTCCTCCTGCTAGAACAGATTAATCTATCCACAGTCAGGTTAACAATGTTCATATATAGGCCATCAATTACCCTAAGATATACAAGTGCTTTACAATCAGATGATAATGTTTATAGCTCTGGAGCATATGAAGAAAAACCAAATTTTATGAAAAATCAAAATGCTGACACAAAACTAAAATACAATCAAGTGTATGAGCCGTTTGCTGAGACTCTGGCCCTTGAGACATTATTGCTATGATTAGAGAAAGCTTGCAGTGCACAAATCCATCCATTTTTTAAAAAATGGACAGTTTACACCAATGCTGAATGGCCATGGAAGATAGTCAGCACCTTTTTAACTTTATCCAGCAATATGAAGCCCTCAATTTTGCAAAGATTTGCTTAAACTTTATGTACTGCAAAAGACCCATTGACTTCAACGGGACTACTCAGTGCACAAGGCTTTGTATGACTTGGACCCACAATTGTAACTTGCAATAATGGAGGAAAACTGGGTGAAATGCTGTTCACATGACTGAGTGTGTAGCCTCATTGATAACTGTCTCTAAGGCTTGGTCTACACCACCCCCCTAATTCGAACTAAGGTACGCAACTTCAGCTACGTGAATAACGTAGCTGAAGTCGAAGTACCTTAGTTCGAATTTACCTTGGTCCACACTCGGCAGGCAGGCTCCCCCGTCGACTCCGCGGTACTCCTCTCGCCGAGCTGGAGTACCGCAGTCGACGGCGAGCACTTCCGGGTTTGACTTATCGCGTCCAGACTAGACGCGATAAATCGAACCCAGAAGTTCGATTGCCAGCCGCCGAACTAGCGGGTAAGTGTAGCCAAGGCCTGAAGGAGTAGTTTGCATGGAAAAGAGGAATATGATTGGAGGACTCTAGTGTTAATATTCTTATTGGCATTTATATGGGTATAAGCTTCCGATTTTTGTCTGTGGACTGATTAACAAACTGTTTCCTTGCCTATACAGTAAGTGATAAGCTGAAGAATGAAAATGAATCTGTTGGACAATTTCACTGAACATTTAAATAGGTTTTAAGGCACAGCCAAAATCACCACTGCTCTCACCATTGCTTTTTTATCAGTTTCTTCATCAGGATTTTTTGCTCTCCAAGGTAAATGAGGACACCAGTTTTCAACCTGCAAAAATAATGGACGGAAAAGTTCTTTTGTTCTGCTTTCAACACGTGCAACTTTATCAAATTCTCTAGTATTTCATTGATGTTATACTTCTCTACAGCTTGATTGATGAATAACAAGTCAGCCTAAAACAAAGCCATTTGCTGTTATGATGTGTCTTCCAGGAAAAGACATCAAAGATGCTTTGCAGTATAAATGGATACCAGGGAAAAACTTAAGATATACAAAAAGCTCTACGCATACCTTAAATATAGTTTATAGAAGGTAATTTTCAATAGCTGGTTGCTTTTTATGAGGGAAAAAAGGAATAATAAAAAAATAGTTTGGAATATGTTACCCAGTTCTAAGGACATGGCTACAAAACCTATAGGGATGGATTAAAAAATAGGGTCATGTATTCTACCCTGTACATTTGAGTTCTCCTTTACCAATCTAGACAAGAAACATTATACTGCCAGTGAGGAGGCTTGTTGGGAAGTAACGGAGGAGGATGGTGCGGATGACACAGGAAAAGGCATGCGTTTAACAACAAAATGGCACCACATATCAATGTTAAGACAAAGGAAAGGTAACCACAAGGACTGAGTGACAATAATGACGGGGGAACCATGGCAGTAGCTGCTACCATTGTACTCTGGTACAATGTACTCTGGAGTCACTGCTGCTTGTATAATGGCTGGTTAGTACAGCACCTTCCTGCTCTTCAATTTAAGATCTGCAGAGAGGCAGGGTTCTTAAGCTGCATTGAGGCCTAAACGATTGGTTTACAGACGATGTTGTGGAGAAGGAAGAGTGTGTGTGCTGTCTGCACAACTCTCAACACTACTGGTGGAGAGAAGGCACTAAAGGCCCAAAATACTTGCACACGTATTGGGGAGAGGCAGAAGAGCAAGAGTGTGCTGGCCAGCTAGGATACCATCGCTAACAGGGCTTGTGTAGGAGTTCCATGGGAGCAGAAGTCAGTGTTGCTGTTGTTATGCTCCTGTGTTTACAAAAACAGTCAAAATAAATGCAATATTTAGCTTAGAGATAAACAAGGCGGGTAAGGTAGAAGATATTACCTCACCCACCTTGTCTCGCTCCTATCCTGGGACTAACATATTTGCAATGTTGTTATAGCCATGTTTAGCTTACTCAGACCTACTCTATGTTCTGAAAGCAGTCAACCCAAAATCAGTAAAGTAGAGTAGCCTAAGCTAAATAGCATGCAAAAAGATTATGTAGAAAAGCGATCATACAAAAATGATTTAGTAGAAACCATAACCTCATTAGAAGCAAAAAAAATCCAACCCAGCTGGGTTCCCCATCTATATATGAGCATTCAAACAAATGTTAGGACCTCTTCCACTCAACATATTTAGTAGAGTGTCTGAAAGTGGTAATGGGGTCAATCCCCACTTGGGAAATGCCTGGCTCTTCATTACACTCAAACTCAGGAAAGATGCTGGACATTGTAGTAATAGTTCGTAATTTTAATCAACACAGGCTGCACAAGCACTAGTGAAAAATACTAGAAACCTCCATTCTTGCAACCTAAGATGCACAAATCAGCTTGGCTTTGCTAAACAACTGTATTTTTTAACCAGGTAGGCAGGATGTTTTGGAGCACACAGCAAGATATTTCTACTATCAAAACTGATCTGTATTAAAGGAGAGGTGACCAGGACTATTGCACAGCCCTCTCTTCTGGCTTCACACACACTTTCATCACACCCAGCAGATCTTGCCACTTACCCACGGCTCTTACCACAACCGTCTCCTTCTGCATCATAACATGTATCGTTCCCCCATCCTTCCGCCCACTGCTCCATCTCCAATGTCTAGTCATTCTCATGCCTCTACTGTTCCCACCAGCTCTACCTGCTCTTCTTTCCTTCTCCACTACAACCCCGCCTCTCTCACCACCACAAATCTAGGTCCTGTGTCCACATCTTCCTCCTCAATTCTGGTGACCTTTGCCTCCATCCTGGTTCCGCTCCTCTCCTCATTTGCACACCAGTCCCCCAACATCTCATGCAATATCTTAGGGGACCATACTGCAGTATGTTTATAAATTGTATATGTATCACTGTGGGCCAGGGATTGTATGCAACTTGGAGGGGTGAGGGGCGAAGAAGGGTTACCACAGCTCCTCTAGGAACTAAAAACTATGGGTGGTAATTAAAGTGAATCATTCAGGTTGTAAACATATCCAGAGAGGTACCACCCCCCGAGAGGTTTACATTTAATGGTACACACTGGGTTTTCCAGAGACCACCAGACAAAGAAAAATCTTTTGGCATAGAAAGACAGAGTGACACCGGGCTTTTTTTCTTTGACTCAGCAAACAGACAGTCCAACCCTTGCATTAGGGTTGGAAAGACTTTGGCTTACTAGGGCCCCATAAGACTAATGGGTGAAATCTGCTGAGCTTTTAGTAGGTGTATAGGACCTTTATTGGTTTTAGTTCTCTCTTTAATGCTTTACCTTTAAGAATAAATATATTTTGCTTTGTGTACATTGTAACCAATGTACACTGCTGTAGCTCCTGGAGAGAGATTAACCACAGATGCTGGACCCAAGTCATGCCATCTGGGGAATAAAGATGGGGGAATAACAGTTTGCACAGAGACTGCAAACCTATACCCCCAATCTGGAGGGAGATAGAGGAAGGTCCCTACCCAAGAAAGGTGGCCCCCGAGAGCCTGAAACCTTAAGTGGGTGCCCTCGAGACAGACCGGAGAGGGTCAAAGGTGCACTAATCCCTGAAACTGGGACAATCGCAACCTCTTCGTACCTCACCCTCTCTAGCTCCTGGTTCTCACAGACCGGTATCCTTCACCTGAGCTGCTTGTGCAGCTGCCCTCTCTATGGAGGCATCTCTTCTCACACTCTCTGCTCTGGATCAGGTCTGCTCCTGCTGCTTCCAATGCCTTCCCCTTTCCACTCTTCTTCTTTTGAACAGCTTTGTATCGGACTTTCTCTCCTCCCCATGTTGCTGTCCCCATCTCCTAACTCCTCCCCATCAGCCTTCCTCTCTGATTTCAACTTGTGGCTCTCTCCTCACAGTGTCCCACGCTTGTCTTCAGTGACCCCAACTTTCATGTTGATAACCCTGCTGACCCCTTAGCTGCAAGTATCCTTCCCAGCATCTCTTCATTTGCTGTGCAGCCCTGATTCAACTCTCCTGCTAGTCAAAGAGATCATTCACTTGGCTTGGTTCTCACCAATCACCGTGCTCTCTTTTTCTCTGATTTCTCTGTTGCTGAGTTCTCTCTCTCTGACCATCACCTGTTCCCTTTATCATCCATCAACCCCTCCCGCAACACACAGTCACATGACCTTTCCATTACTTCCAATCCCTCAGCGTCGATCACTACTTTTCTGCTCTCAGCCTTCTTTCCTCACCGTCTCTTACCTTTCTTCCAATGATATGGTTGTTGATGCTTTCCCTGCTTCACTCTCTCCTCCACCCTTAACTCTTTTGCCTCTCCACCATTGCAAAGTATGCCCTGTCAAGTGCCGACCCCCATTCCTGCCCCAGCGCCCCCACCACAACCACTTCCTCCAGTCCTGCTGTCACAATGCAGAGCATCTCGGGTGGAAATCCTGTGAACAGACTGACTTCCTCAACTATAAATGTGTTCCTTCCTCCTTTGGTTCTGCCACCCTCCTGGCTAAAAATATCACTTCTCTAGCTTAATTGAATCCCTCACCCATGGTAACAGTCACCTTTAACTCATTCCTCAAACTTTTCCTTGCTCCTGCCTCCACTTCCCTCTCCGCACAGGATCTTGCTGACTTCTTCCAAGAGAAATTTGACAAAACAGGACGTGGCTCACCTTCCTTCCCCCTCCCCCCACCTTCCTGCAACACCATCTTCACCCTTCCATCACAGATACAGAAGTTTATCTGCTATCCTCCTCAAATCCCTCCACTTGCCCCACTGACCCCATCCCATCTCCCATGAACCCATCCTCATCCCCTCCCTTACTTTTCTCCTTAACCTCTCCCACTCCTCTGGTTCTTTCTGTTCACAATACAATCATGCTTTAGTCTCTCTCATCTTAAAATCATCCCACCCTAGACAGCACTTATTCTCCAGCCACCACCACCCCATCTCCCTTCTCCTCTTCATTTATAGACTGCACTGCCTACAATTGCTGTGTGGAATTCTCCTCCTCCTGAACCATTCTAGACCCTCTTTAACCTGGCTTCCACCCCTTGCACTCACTGAGATTGCCCTGCCCTTAGGCACCGACTTCCCCTCTGCCCTATGATTGCTTGACCCCCACACTCTTGGCCGCCCCTACACCACCATCCTTACCCTGCCCCAATTCCACCCTCTTCCCCCAAGTCCCCGCCCCGCCTCTTTACCGCCTCCTCCACTGAGCATTCCACATCCCCACTCCTTGCCCTCCCTCCCAGAAAGTCCTAAGCACTGCCAAACAGCTGTTTGGTGATGGGAGGGAAGCGCAGGGAGAAGTGGGGATGCCGCAATCGGAGGAAGGGGTGGGGGGAGCTTGGCTGCCAGTGGGTGCGGAGCGCCCGCAAATTTTTCCCTGTGGGTGCGCCAGCCCCTCAGCACCCACAGAGTCGACGCCTATGGCCTTGCCATAGTCTCGAATGACCTCTTCCTAGCCAAAGGTCAGATCCAGTACTCCATCCTCAGCCATCTTCCTCTTGAAATCTTATCCTTCCCCTTGGCTTCTGTGACTCTCATTTCTTGGTTTTCCTCCTACCTCTCCAATTACTCCTTCATCATGTCCTTTGCAGGATACTTATCTCTCTGTGAGGATTCCACAGAGCTTTATCCTTGGGACCTTATGAATCTTATGAATAAAGATCAAAGGACTGTTTTGATATTATTGGGATTGCGAAAAGTTACAAGAGATCTTTCCACTGAAGAGGCAAGAGGACAGCGTGACTTGTATCATGAATGGATGGATGACCACGGCCAAGCCTGGCTGTAATATGCTGGGGAGTATTTTGCATGAGCTTTTGCTTTATATGACTTAACA